AAAAAAAAATAAAGAAAGAAATTATGCTTTCAACCCACTGGGCCTGTGATGACAATAAAGTTTGAGGGAAAGGAAGAAAGGCTAGAAAAGGAATGTTCTTCAGTCTCAGAGCTAAGAGAGAGGCACATAATCCATCCATCCAGGGATGGACAGCGGGCAGGATGTTTAATGCCCCTGAACTCATTTAATACCCACTAAGCACAGTATTTAAAGATCTTCACAGTGTGGCCCCAACCTGCAGTCCCATTGGGTGCTGTCCTGAGTTGCCAGTTCACACCTGAGACTACTTCAGCTGATACAGCTCGTGCACAATCACACTCCCACCTGAAGCAGAGCTTCAGAGCTGCCCATTCCCACCAGCACAGACACCATGCCCAGGCAGCCACCCCCAGTCACCCCAGTGGGCCTGCTGCCCGGCCTCCCACCCCCCAGTGCATTTTCTCTTCAGTACCCCAGGCTCGTGCCTGCCCTTCTGTCTGGATGCCCTCTCCACTGTTCAATTTCTGACTGAAACGACTCAACCTTCACATCTCTGTTCAGAGATTACCTTGCCTAAGAAGAAGCCGAAGAAAGTGCCCAGCACATAAAGACTGCACAATACTATTTTTTAAATACATGAACCACTTAAAATCAACATGTGCATGGCATCGTCCGGCAGCAGCCTGAGGGTCGTGTGTGGCATCTGGGAAGGGAGCTAGCTGGGCTCCCACCCAGCTCCATCATCAGCACCTGTGTGACTACAGTTAAGTGATGCTACTGGTCTGAATTCTGTAGCTTTGACAGTGGGGTGCACATCGCGGCGAGGGTGGGGGGCAGTGGCTTGGGGAAGCCAGGGGTGGAGATTTAATTTTTGGCCATGGGGACTGACAAGAAGCAGAGGGCGTGGAGGGTGGGGGCCTTTAGAGGAGGAAGTGAGAGAGGGCTGGAAATTTGAGCTGCTGGTTGAAATATGGGTATGACTTTGACAGAAAGATGAGGAAAGGCAGGTTGTCTGGGGGGTGGGGGGTGTTGAGGGGGGTGGTCAAGGATAGTAACTCCTCCTGGTAGAAAGAACTGCGAAGACTAAGGGTATCAGACTCAGACTATAAGGGCAGGCAGGGGCATGAGCTCACATGTGGCCGCAAGAGCACACCAGTGCCCGAGGCTGCGGCTTTTCCCACAGCCCAGTGGCCAGCAGCCTGGGCCCCTGCCTGCCCGCTCAGGTGACAACAGCCCTGTGAGGAGGCTGTCACAATGTGCAGGTCACGCATGAGCACACAGAGAGGCCGGTCCTTGCCCTTTGGCTGTAAGCGTTCACCACTCAGATAGATGCTGCCCGCCTGCTGGGCACTGGCCAGCACTGGGCACCAGCCAGGCACTGGGCACCGGAACAAAGCAAACCAGGACCCAGGCCTTACAGAGCTTTCGTTCCAGTATGGAAACACCCACTGGGCAAATAAGCAATTAAATGAATTTAATTACAAGGTCCAGAGGTGAAAAGGCTGGGAAGGAAAACAGAGCGGCTAATCACGGGCGTGGTGGCAGGGTGGGGTCGCAGAGGAGGAGTTCTTAAGCGTCTCTGGTGAGATGGCTCTGGACCTGGAGAGTGAAGGGAAGAGCATGCTTGATGGAGGACGCTAAGTTCCTCGGCAGGAATGAACTTGGCGCTGGGGGAAGGCTGGCGGCGGGGCAGGGAGGGGTGCACAGGTTTCGCACCTTGGCTTCTGTGCAAGGTGCGGCCTGTGGCATGACGTATCCCGCTTGCACCGGCTGCTGTGTAGGGGCTGAGGTCGGTATGAGAGCAACGGGGTGAGAAGTGACCGCACGTGTGGGACAGCCTGAAGGTGGAGGCCTCTGGGAGGCTTCAAGCGCGCCCCTGGAGTTAGATTCCTCTGTCTCTCATGGGATCTGTCTCTCGCGAGTTCCCGTATGAGCCAGGCGCATACGAGACTGGTGGGGGCAACAGCTGACAGTCCCCTCCCCCAAGGAGATGACCGCAGTAAGTGCAGCCCTGGTGTGCCTCGCCACCAGGACCCACATTTCGCACTTGCAGCATACAGTGTGGCCCAGTCAGGGCACACACGTGTCCTGAGGCTGCTGACGTGGGGGGCAGACTCACTTAGCAGCTCTGGGCAGACATCTGCTGCCCTCCACCCACAACAGACCCCAGTCAGGCCTGGCACCTCCTGGCAAAGGGAACTGGCTGCAGTGGGGTCCTCCCGGGTGGAGCCGGCACCTCCCCACCCTGGGGCCCCTAACCCCAGCCCGCCTCTGCCTCCGGGGTGTGCTCACCGAATACCTGCTTGGGAACTAAAGGAAAATGAAAGCAAGTCAGGGGTGCTTCGGCTCAGAGGAGGGGCCCTCACAGGACAGCAGGAGTTTGACATAGCACATGCCTCCACATCCCACATGCCCCCCACCCCTACATGCCACATTAGTGCTGGCCACATTAGTACTAGGGGGGAACAGAAAGGAAAGGCACCCCATGGTGCCCTAATACCGCCTGCTGTTCAGACCAGGAGCTGAATAAGAAGGCCTGCTAAGAAAAGCCAGAGGCAGGCCCCCCACGGCCCACCCCACCCCTCCCCCTCACCCAGGCTGAGATCAAGAATCCAGTGGGGGCGGGGGACACTTTCCACAGAGCTGGTGCTTTTAATTTGGCTTTTAAAACAGGTGGAGAGGAAATCCCCTCCCTTTTGAGTGAACAAATCAGAGCCATGCAGACAGGGCCGTTTTTTGAGGGTGCACAGAGCTCCCTCCTTACTTTCAGGGACTTTGACTCTTCAAAAAGGCTTTCCTCTGTGTTAGGCTTTAATGAGATCCCTTCCTCCCCCAAAAGTAATGGTCTGAAGAGGGTGAGGTGGAAAGTCCCGCTGGGCTATTCCTGAGGCCATTGACCCAGGAAGAAATAACAAAAGACAGAGAAGCCGCTTCACATTTTGAGGGGATGCTCAGACACCCTAAGAACTCAGCCAGCTCGCAAATGACTTCATTTGAAAACTTCCAGCTTGCAATTCAGTCATTCTTTGACGAGAAATATGTGATTTGCCAAACATGAAATGGAATCATTAAGCCCTGACAAAAATCGGAGGCAAAGCAAAGCTGTGGCTGCGTGCCCCGTGCCTTATCCTTAACAAATTAGGTGTCCCTGCGGAAGGCACTCCAGACAGACGGGAGCGTGGGCTCTGGCTGCAAGAAGGACGACACTGATCATCAAAATGCAAGCAGCTTGACGATTTCAGACATTTAATTACCCACTCCACCCGACCCCCAACACACACACACACAGAAAAGGAATTTGTCTTCTTCTGGCTATCTCTCTTTTTAAAGCACTGCACAAGCATGGAATGTGCTAGACAAAGATTTCAGGGATTAAACCGAAGTATAGGATAAAAGTGTAGCGACAAGACCCTCATTCACACACAAGAGCATGGTAAAACTGGTGAAATCCGTATCAGCTTTGCCGTCGCTCACAGCATTAGGTCAACTCAGGGGAAGACGCTTAAAATGCTGATTCCAGGGCTCTCCCAGCCCTGACCAAGTTGGTTATGACTGGGACATGGGAATGTACATTTGCCACCAGAGCCATGAGTGGGTGCAGGGTCACACTTGAGGAAACTTGCAGATCGCAGGCAGGTACATGGGGGCGCATCAGGGTGTTCCCGTGATGGGGCCGGGGAAGGTGGGCAGGCATTGTGCATCTGCATGGTAAGCTGCTCCTGGCGCTCAGGGAGGAAGCTTCAGGCACCTTCTCTAAGTGCAAGGAGCCAGAGCTCGCCAGCCCTGGGGCCCCAGGGAGCTGGAAAGGGGCCCAGGGACCTCCTGGCTTGGAGCCTCTGAGGCTGTAACCATGTGGCAGTTAGGACAAGATGTAGAGTTACAACTCCCTCATCTTCACGACAACGTTTTACCGAGTGCCAATGACATGCAAAAGCATCTCACTGAATTCTCACCACCCTTCTCTGTGGGAATGTTTACTGGTTATCCCCATTCTACAGGGAAGAAAACTGAGGCCCCCAAAACTCCAAGTTTACATGAACATGTGACGAGCTGGGAGTCGCAGCCAGATCTGCTTGGCTGAAGCCACCCTCCTGTCTGACACAGATGCCTTCTGGTTCTCATCTCTTCCAGGACAAAACACTCCACTGAAAATACCTCACATTTGTGGGCTCTGTGAGGCGAAGGGGAGAGGAAACGTTTCCCGGTCCCAGATCCATCCTCTCAAGGTCCCCTTCCATGGCGCTCTCCCTCCCTCATGCCCACCTGTGATTCTCTCCCCATCTTTCTCCTCCCTCACCTTTCTACTCCTCCCTCTCTGTTCCCAGAGTCCAACGTGTCCCTCCCTTGTCCTCGTGTCCTCCTCCTTCATATGACCCAGCCAAATGACCTACCATTTTCAAGAGGACACTGGGGAATCTTGTTTGCCCAGAGGTTCCAAATATAGTCCATGTTCCACTCGAGACACACTTGATGGTCTTTGAAGGGGCGTTCAAAAGGCGGGACTGTCTTCAGCAGGGTGTAATTCTTGGCGACCGCACGCAGCAGGTTTTCCCCCCATTTAACGTTCAAGTCTCCGCCACCGTATCTGTGAGTTATCCAGGCGCGGAGGACCACCGCGGATACGGAAATGGAGTGTCGGATGAAGTAGTCATCTCTGTACACCATGATGCTTGGAAATTTCACATGTACTATTTGTGTCCTACTGGTATGAAGATGTTTCTCATTCTTCCACCTTTTTTTGTACACAGGGATGCTACTTCTGAACTCAGACGAGACTACTGCTTCCAGGTTCACAACACAAGGCTGAGAGCATAAATACTCGACGGAGACTTCAGAAACGTTGCGTACGTTCCCTTCAAAGACGGTGAAGTAAATAAAGTCTTTGTAAGCCATGCTCTGCTCGGCTTTGGGGATCACCGATGTCGTCAAGGATGTCTGCCTGCCCAGCGATGGCACAAAATTCTGAAAAGGAAAAAAGAGAGAAGGGAATAGTTGAAAAACCATCCTGGTAGCAGATACAGGAATCACTCTTTTCCTGGGATTAAAAAAATATCCTTCTACCTTAAGACATGAAGGTGGACGGTGAGCGCTGTGAACGTCACCACTGAGCCACTAGGGACAAGCCGCACGCGCACCAGACACAGAAACGAGGCCGTGTGAAACCCCTCCCCGGACTCAGTGGCATTTGCTGATGAAAATGTGACTTTCTAGCTACCTGGCAATCAGTCACTCCAGAGCTCGTTTCAAAGGGAGGAGCGAGTTGGTAAGAGATCCAGTAGCAGGTACCTGCCTGAAGGCAAAACGAGACAACCCAGCTTCAGACATTTCCAAACCATTGTCCTGACTTCACACCGTGATCAGATAGAGCCAAATCAAAGGTGCAAGGAACAGTTCAAAGTGCACAAGAAAGAAGCATAGCAGGAAGGCCAGGCTGGCCCCTGAACTTCCCCAAGTGCAGGAGCAGCAGGAGGCTCATCCTCCCCAGCGCCCAGATGGGCTTGGAGCACAGACGGGCGGTCGGATCCCTGCGGTCGGATCCCTGCACCCTACTAGGTGCTACGGAGTGCCAGAGGCTTAGGGGCAGAGGGTGCTGCGCTTTGTTTCTTTGAATCTTTTAAGGGCTGCGACCTTTCAAGAAAAAAATCTAGTTAAGTTTGGTCATAAAATCAGGGCATTGTTTTCAGCACGAGGTGCTGACCTATGGGTGTCAAAGTTCTTCTCGTGATGACTTGATGATTCAGGCATGCAGAACACCACAGCGGAAGGGTTACTGTGGACCACAGCACACCCGTGAGTGTGGCAATTAACCACAGGAAATAACAAGTGGGGAGAGGATGCAGAGAAACTGGGCCCCTAGGCACTTTCGGTGGGAAGGTATTAACGGTGCTGCCACTCTGGGAAACGGCACCACTGATCCTCCGATGTAGAATGGCGAGATGACCCAGGAATCCCGCTGCTGAATATGCCCAAGACTTGACAGTGGGGCATCGACACACAACCACGTCCACAGCAGCATTTTTCACAATTGACAAAAGGTGGAAATAACCCAGATGTCCATCCGTGGATGACAGATGGATAGCACCAGTTACACAGTGGAGTTTATTCCAAAAGGAAGGAAACCAGTGTTTCCTACATTAGCCTGGGTGAACTTGGACAGTGTTATACTGAATGAAACAAGCCAGTCACAAAAATAACTACTGATTTATTAAAAATATTATATTAATTATTTAATAATTATTGGTATTTATAATAAAAAGTGATCCCACTCCTATGAGGTAACAAGTCACCAGATTGCCAGAGACAAGAAATGAGCTGGGTGGCGCCCAGGAGCTCAGGGAGAAGAAAAGGAGGGTGGACTGTGTTGTCTGCTTGCCCCAGAGAGTCAGCTCGGGGTGATGCAAAGAGCCCTGGAATGTAGGGTGTGATGGCTGCACACCTGTGTGAGTGTGCTGTCACCAAGCTGCACGCTTAAAAATAGTTAAAGTGATATTATTTTATGTCATGCATAACTTTACCACAATTCAAAAGACGGCCCCTGTGTCTTTTCCAAAGAGAGAAATAGGATGCCTTTCTTCAGTGTTGGCTGAGAGCTAGAGGAGAAGCCAACGTGGGTAAGACGTGAAGTCGAGGAAGAGGGAAGCACGTCTCAAAGAAGTGACACAAGGCAGGCCACCGTCGGTGTTCCAGGCACACAACCAGTCACCCCAAGGGCACCTGGCACCAGGTGAGACCGGTGCTGGAAGGCGGGGCGCTGGGACTGGCGCCACTGAGGTCTGGTCGTCAGGTGGGTTTTAGGGGAACAGACGTACGTTCTGTGGGGAAGAGGCTGTTGGTCCTAGAGACAGCCTGAGCAGGGGCCAAAGACAGGGAAATACCTGGATGTATTTGGGGATACACCAGCAGCTTGGCTTGAGGGGGAAAGGCACAAATGAACAGGGGAAAGGGAAGCTGCAAAGAAAGGCAGCTCCTCCCTCTGGCGACATGGAATCCCAGCTGGAAGAGCGCGGGATTGATACTGACAGCAAGGAATCAATGAAGGTTTCTCTAAAAGGCGATGGTGTTTCCACTTTAAAGCACTGACAGTCAATTAGAAACAAGACTGACGATCAAAAAAAAAAAAAAAAAAA